ACTGCGGGGAACTCTGCAAAAAACGCATCTTCGCACGGGCAGCCCGTGCGTTGGCCAATTTTTGGTGGCTGTTATAGCGCTGCACAGCAAAAACGCATAAAAATGAACATTGTCGAAAAGTCGTCTGTTTTGTCACCCACTTTCATCTCAGCAACCAGGAAAGCTGGGGGGCCGAAATTTTGAGTATATGTTTCTACCCCGTATATCATTCGCCTTTTTTAAAAATTTTCGCTTGTACGTGGCTAGATCCCGCGTGTGGACCCCAGAAAAAATATGCAAGTTTCTTTGGCGGGAAATGATTTCACGAACCAGGCAAGGTACAAAGCTGAAACTTTGCAGACATGTTCTCTGTACATGTGCGAGCTAAAGATTTCAAATTCAGCTGTTGCGCGCGCTTGCGCAGCATGTACGATCATGTCAAAGTTTGCAACTTGGTACTGTACTAACTCGAAAACGTGGCGGAAAACAGTGGTTGAAGCTTTGTTAGCGTGTTTATCGCCATATTGGAAATCATACACTTAAAATGAGTACCGATGTGCACTTGCGCTGCGACTTAGGGCACTTCAAAGATACTTATGGCGAAGTGACTGTTTCGCTTATCGGATAAGATGCGAGACTGAAACTTTGCTGGGATATTCTACTTCCAAGTCCGATCTTAATTCTGCTTCGAAGTGGAATTCCCTCTACGTGGGCATGAGAAATACTTAATTTCACCGAAAAAACAGAAAAGAGTGCATTTTGCAGCGAACGGCCGCCTTCATCCTTTCCCATCATGTAAATGAACTTATTTGCATATTTGGGCTTTTTGACAAACGACCGTACTAGCAACATTTCCACTTTTCATTGAACTGGAAATTTGCATTTTTTCGAAGAGCGGGCATTTATCGGAAAAACGATCGGGCTTTATGCAAAAGACTGGAGGTCCACGGTATCCTACAATGCAACACCTTCATTCCAACCGAAGTCCTTTCTGCTAAATGCCAGAAGATGCCAGAGCATGGCCAATATGGGCCTAATTGTTAGGCTACAGCACAGGGATCAATCCTGCAATTAGCGATTTGCGAGTTTAATGCTAAAACGCATAATCGCACTGGCAAGCCTGGTATATTCCAGCCTGAGTTTTAAAACTAAATTATTGTTTAAATGTGAGGTCAACCCGCACAGATCTCACAAATCTGGTTCATCTTTCTGCACACGTCCATGGGGGGATTTTCCAGTTTTGTCCTCTAGATTGGAATCAGTGATGAAGGCTGTAGCGCGATAAACTCCTGCCGAGTAGACTGCTTTAAAGTTCGGGATTCTGAATATCTCTTTTTCGAGACAATTGCGGAATAAAGAGCCAGTAGAACCAGTGAGTTGAGAATTAGTGGGCTCACGATTAGCTACTTTACCTTACAAATTAGGGAACTGGACAGAAGTATGTTATAGTATAAAATAAAAATTTTTAGTTTGTATTGTTACTTTGTTAACAGATCAGGTTTTCCAAACTTAAGCAGCTGCATGTTGGGAAATAAAACAAGCACTAAGAAGCAGAACACAACTTTAATTTCTTCTGCTTCTCAGCTTTTTTTTGCGTCTAAAGCACTTAAGATCGTATTGGTTAAACTGAAGTTACTTTTTTGCATCTTGAAGATCAAGCACCATTGCAGTATCAAATTTCAGGCCTCATTTCTGAATAAAAAGTTACATGTGGATGGTGAACTTGTAGAGCTGAGTATTTGGGATACAGCTGGACAAGAAAAATTTCATGCGCTTGGCCCAATCTATTACAGAGACAGCCATGGAGCCCTTTTGATTTACGATATCACCGATTCACATTCATTTGAAAAGGTTCTTCAATTTTTGCTTCTTTGTGTATTTTGGCTTCAGCTCATTTTTAAGAAAATCAATTTACAATCAATTTCCCTGTACTAATTCTGCATTGTAAATTTGAAGCGACAGACGTATGAGTTATCTAGAATTAATGTGAAAACATTGCTGGCATTACACCGAAGTGGATATGAACTTTCTTTGTGGGAAAAACTGCTTATATCGTTTTGACGAGATATGGCTTTAGCGGTTGTGTCCTTCCTCGAGAGTTGTTATATGCGTCCTTCGCTGACAGCGCACAGATGGGAAGCGCGATAACCAACTAAATCTCAATCCGAAAGTCGAAATTTACGAAATTTTTGCCTTGAGCGTGACCAAAACGAATTTTGTTCAGGTAAAAATGTGGGTGAAGGAGCTGAAACGTATGTTGGGTGACGATGTATTTTTAATCATTATTGGAAACAAGGTAGACCTCGAACGTAATCGGAATGTACAAATGGTGGAAGCAGCCGAGTAAGTTTTATTAAAGATGCTCCCTAGTATCCCTCCTGCTGATGCTGTGACCTTATAGTCCCATTTTTTTTCCTAACAGTACAATATATCTCAGTTCAAAAATCTGCTTTTATTTTCCTGTTTTATCAGTTGAACCTCTTGCATTTTGCTCGATTTATTATAACTTATAAATCCTTTTATTTTAGATTTTTGCATACTAACCGCTCAGGTGCACGATTTAAAAGGAGCAGGCAATAGGCAGTTAATTCAGCATTCTTTGCGATAGATGATAACTCTTCCATGAAAAATGAGATACGGATATTAGTTGGACAAAAAAATCGATAAAGTTACTTTGTTTCTATTTTTGGTGTGCATAATTTTACGTTTATATGCCAAGCAAATTCAGCAAAAAATTCAGTTATATTTCAAACATAAGTTTCTCTCTTCTATAGTGGTAGGGCTGAATTTGTAGTGCTTCTAGTGTAAAAACGAGTGGTGGTGAACCATTCTCCTTGAATTTTTGCTTTTAAATTTATCTGTGTATCTTAGTTCTGAGTAATTTCCTCATATTTTTTTCCTTTTACTGTGTGCTGCTAACATTTTGAGGCGAGCATTCGACAGTAATTATCAAAACATTTTTTCTGGAAAATTTAAATTTTTGCGAAAAGGACATGTTAAATGGTCTCAGTTTGCACCTTTTTACTGCTTTTAAATAAATTTTTAAAGGCAGAAGCTAATTCGGAAAAACATATATGTGAGATGGTGTTCGGCCTAATTAGAAAGGTACCGAAATTGATATTGTTTTTATGCTTAAAAAGTAGTACTTTTCCCGCACTATTTTTCCTGAAAACTGTAAGATGTACTAGGTTTTATGGCCCATTCAAACAAAAGTAGCATTGCATCACGATTTTTCAGGTTGTTAATTTCATTTGAAAGGGAAGCAGCGATGACCAAAGGGAACTTCCGTGACTGACGGAATGGTGGAAAGAAGGATAGTGAATGAGTGAAGGGTTGCATTCATATATGTCTTGGTTTTTTCTTTTTGCAATTTTCAGTTATGCGAAGTCAATTAGCGCCGAGCACTTTGAAACGTCAGCAAAGGATAACATCGGCATTACCCAAGTTTTCGATCATCTCGTAAAAGGTACAGAATTTACAGCTTGTTTTAAGTTTTATGGTATCAGTGAGTTTTTATGAGTAAAAACCATTTTATTGCTGGGACCATCTTTGACAGACTTGTTTTTTTCGAGAATTTTTTTACAGATACTTGCTATCAAAATTACAGATACATGAAATGTTTTCTTTGCTCCGTTATTGTTTAGGAATTGCTTTTGTAAATGTTGTGAATTATGAATAATGTTTTTTTTCGTTGGCGTTTTTTATTTTACAGTTCGGTAGAAGCCATGTCGGTTTTTTTACTTGACCAGTTCAAGTGTAATTTGATCCAAAGGCTTCCGTCAATTGGATGATTCGAATTCTAAATTATGAAAAGTGAATTTTTCATCTCTCTGTTGCATGAGTTTTTCTAATTGTAAAAAATGCTTTCAGGTTTAATCGAAAGAGCTAAACAAGCACAGTTTGAAGGTTTGGATTCTTCACATCATGGTTCATCGCGGAGGAACGATTTACTCATCGTAGACGATCCCACTCCTGTCAAAAAATCCTGCTGTTCCGGTTGATTATGAATAGACAGTGCTTCCCGAAAATCTTTAGAATCTTTTCTTTGAACGGTGTCTACTTCTGCTTACAGTTAAAGTATTTATCGGATATCGTCCGATTTTGAGATTAGAATAGTTCGTCAGCATATTCCGGACCTAGCAGAAGCAGCCCAGTATTTGATAAAGGGGCAGATTCTCACGGATTTAACTGTGAAATTCGCTGTCTTGGGCGGACTGTTAAATTTGTGGCAAGGTCATGTTTGGCATACACGTTTTGCTTTTTTTGTTGATTCATCCATTGATCTAATCCTTTAATAGTTTAGGAGTCTTAGTCTTTAGGTAATTTAGGCTGTGTGTTTGAGCGATCTGTGACACCAAACTGTCACGGCTTCCAGAGCTGTTACGTGCTGATTATGTTGGTCTTGCGCTATATGGGCGCTTGTAGGTTCACTTACTCTTACTTTAAATGGGAACAAAATATTCAGGCAAAATTTTGTGACTCGCCTCCCTTTAAATACTGTTCTCAAGATTGAGATTTATGTGAAATTGCTTAAAGTGTGGCTAAATAACTGAGGGATGAGACAGGTACGTTGCTGTAAGTTTGATTAACTTAGAGTGCTGGTTCGGTAATTTTGGCAGTTATTCGATTTTGGTAGCATTAAAAAATAGTTTTGCGCAGACGGGTAGATGAAAGAATTGGTAAGATAGTGGCAGTTGAAAATACGCATTTGCATCTGGTGGCACACTGGTCTGCTTTGATCACACAAAGATTGCTAGTTTCCCACCTTGCTCGTTCTCATTCTTTGATTTTATCTTTTTACATGTTCCCCTCTACCGGATGGTACAAATTTTCTCCAAAACGCATCTAAATCCTCTTATTAAAATGTTATTGATAACTACTGGTAGTTCCTAATGAATTGAAACCGGCGGTCCTGTGACCTTGTGATCACGTATCGATCTGAACCCACACGTTCTGCATGTCACAAGCGGTAATTTCTCTGGCCGCGGACATGTTTGGTAAGCAAAGAGGTACCGGTGGGGGCACTTCTGTTTTAACTGAATCGAATCTGGTCTTTCTTTTCACCGGTGTGACTACACTTGCTCTGTATATTAGAAATTACGCAAATTTTGTTTTTTATTTGAACGGGTTAAATTAGGTTTGGTGTTCGTCGGAATTGTGTGTAGTTTGTAGCTTTTTCCTTCCACTTTCATTTTTTATTACTGATAGTTTTCGCTGAACATGTTTTTTTTAATGAAATCTCAAGGTAATTTCATTGGGCAGGACTTTGCGAATTCCTGTGCTTGGTTTTGCTGGCTTGTACAATATTTAGCCCGCAACGACTCAGTTGGCGAAGAGCAGGGCCTAATCCTAGAATTTTCTTTCTGTTATGTGTCCGCAA